TTTGTTGACCTCAAAAAATGTTGCCAACAGATGTCAGGCCCACTCGTGCACACGCAAGCTTGATCCAACACGTTAATGCCGATCAACTGTCAAGATGACTCTAGAAACTGAACGTGGGAGTAGCTCAATGACACGAGACGTCTCCCTTCGGACTTCCGACAAGATTTATGTAATACGATTGTATAAGAAACCAATCGATAAAAGCACAATTCGTGGTAGAAAATATGTTGTAGAAGTACACTTAATAAATGAAAGAGAGAGGTATTGCTCGAAGTATTTAGATTTTCATTACCTTTCTTGTGTTACATGGTGGGGGTATTTATAGTGTTACAAATGAAATAATGACATTTGGATCAATTTACACGTGGCCTCATCTCCTCGGCCAGGACATCAAATCCTAGCCATAAAGTTGATTTTCCTAACTTTACAAAACATTAAATACTCTTACATTGACAAGACAAGATATAAAGCTACTTTTCATAAGAGTCACGTCAATCATTGACGAGGAGATCTTCATCATTGCTATATCTTTCCATGTGGGCCTTCCCTAGCTGCAAAAGGGGTCTCGGATAGTGCATGGCCAATGAACCATGGCTTCGGCTAACAACATTGGCCTCGGAATAAGTCAAGGCCTCGGAATCCACGTCAGAGGCTAGGAAAATATACCCTGATTTCATTAAGCTGGTCCCACCGTTGAAATATGGTGCCACGTGTTGCTTTCGTTTATCACTCGTAACAGGATTGTTTCAAAAAATACATTTTTCCCTATCACAATTTTTTGAAAGATGTCATCCTCAATTTAAGGAAAATGATGTATAAGTAGAATTATTGTTTTGTATTTGGGATTCTGAACCAATTTTTAAATTTTTGAAAGTTCATGTATAATGAAACTGTTGGATAGAAATGGACGGAAAGGACATTTTATGATTTTCCATGCAACCTAAAACATTTGATCATGTAACACTAAAGTTCTGGGCAAGGGTAATGCTATTTGAATTAATGGTGCTAAGTATTAGTTTAGATAGTACGCAAGTGTCATTAATTGATAGATTACCTTAAATTGTAGGAACGATATTTAGACTTATAATACGCTTTATTATTTATCATGATCCGTACACTTATAGAATCACGCAATCATGGGATGTCGCTTTATTTGGTAGCTGGCGGCGCATCTCTTCCAATTTGGTGGCCATCCCAGCCGCTTCTAATGAAGTGGAAGGAATGAGTAATTTTTAACGGTCGGGAACAACGGTTCTCAGGGAAGTGGTCAAAACGATGATGGGGACAGTCGTTCGCCCTTATCCAGACGAATACCAAGGAGATTTTCCTTGAACCTATGGATGCACGGCATATAGAGAGAGCTCATGTCGAGTGAATGGAAGGTGATTTTTTCTCAATTCTTTGTCAATAACAGAGCAGTCTCCGAATTGGAATTTTCTTATTTATTGTTTCCAGGTACCTTGTCCTCGATTTTGGAGTTCATCCGTTGCAAGTCAGTTTTCTTCTTAAAAGTTGTACATTACTTGGTTTTAGCTAGTGGGTGGTTCTTCTGGTGGTATTTTTTGAAGGCTTGTTTTCGGTTAAAACAAGTTGCAAATTTATTTTATTTTTCTGTAGTTGATCTTTATAATTGGTTCTACTGTAAAATGTAAATTTATGATATTGACCATGCCTCTTCTAGAGGTGGAACAAGAAAAGAACAAGCAAGACTACACATTATTTTCTCGATTTATTTGTTAGAAGGAAAATGGATGTCCTCTGGTCATTTTTGTGTCCAATGTTTACGATAAATTTATGCCAACAAAACTAATGATCAACAATTGACGCAACAATGGTTGCTACCATGTTCTTCAATAAATTGAAATGACTCAATTTTATAGAAGAATGTGACAGATGTCGCACTGCCATATAGATGGTTGTTTCCAGTAGAATGCCTCCAAATATCATTACTATAAATTTATAGGAAATTGTGGCAGTTACACTAACTTTACATGGACTGCTAATGGTAAGCATAGACTGTTGTTTGTAGTGCAATTGTTACAAATATCATCACTACAAATTTATAGGAAAATGTAGTGGTTACTTTACTTCTACAGACTCTGATAGGTAAGCACTGCTTACAAATAAGATTACTCTTTCACATAGACATATGTAACGTACACACGCGAACATGTGAAACTGCACATCACAATAAGAGCCTATTAGGGTATCACTATAGCAGATGACAATGATAACTTACTTGATTATCCATTAAGAAAAAAGAACGGAAATTCCTTCAATTATGTAATGTAGAATTTTACATCGACAATGTTCCCTAGAGTGTTTGTAATGGTTGGCAGCCACATAATACTACAAATGATCTTTACTCAAATGTGAACAACTTTCTCGACTTGGTAGATGATTGAGCTATGAGTCTCTAATCGAACTCTGAACCCCTGACTGGTATTGAGAATGGATGATCAGATGAAAATCTGCAAAATAAAAACATCATCCCCATCAAAATTATACATGGCATGTCTATAGAAAAAATAAATCTACTTGCAACTAAGATGTGCTTTGAAGATACAAGTAAACTAATGTTTTTTATCCCTTACATTTTTTACTTTAATGCTTCCAAAAAAAGGAGAAGCTTTAGCAATTTAACTATATATGAGTTGTTTGCTCAACACATTAAATATTTATCAAACTAGTTCTTGGGATGTGCGATGAATTCAGTGTATTGTATTAGAGTATTTAATAGATGGAATTACCAAATTCTTGTTGCAGTCTGCCATTTTTTGCTCATGGGTCTGCAAACGTTCAAACTCCTCTCCTTCCATCCCTTCCCTCAAAATAAGTCTGTATACCAAGAAGGAAAACTAAGCCATGTTTCCCCTCACTCTTTTTGCCCGAGTTAATGGAAGAGAACAGACGCCTGTTCCCCCACTGAAAAGAAGAACGAACACCTTAACAGCTTTCACAACAACAAAAAAGGAGGAAAATCGCATTATTGATAATTACATTCAATTAATTTTGATAAAATTCACATGAAGCCCCAGTATTTACACGATAATTCTTCTTGAAATCCTAATTTTACCAATTCGATTAACTCACTCTAAATTCAAAATTTTTAAAAAATTTGAAGCCAGAAACACAAATTAATGAAGATTGTTGGTTGGTTCTCACCTTCAATCTAGTTTTTTGTGATAGTGCTTGCTCATTGTCTTCCTCCTACATGAATTAAAATAAAATAATAAGTCAACATAGTTGCCAAGTTTTAAGGACAAAAAAGTTGTATAGCTTAATCCCAACTGACATCTCCAACGCTCTCATCGTCCTCATCACCATTAACCTCAGACTTTGGCTTGTCGGACTCATCTTCAGCACCTCCAACCTATAAAAATGGTTCGGCACAAGTGTTTTGAGTATTGCAGTCTAAACTAAACAGTGCATAACTCTATGCTTCTCATAGATGGATTACCAAATTCTTGTTGTAGTATTCCATTTTTGCTCATATTCCTCCTTTCATTTATCTGTCTTTTGCACAAAGGGAGGTTTTTCCTTATTTTCATAACATTAGGAAATTTCTCGAGAAGAA